TGACTCTTTGTGACTCCATGGACTATAGCCCATGGGATTTTCCAAGCAAGAATACTGGAGTGGGTTGCCATTTCCTCCTCCAGGGGATCTTCCCAACCCAGGGACTGAACCTACGTCTCTTACATCTCATGCATTGGCAAGTAGGTTCTTTACCACTGGTGCCACCTGGGAAGCCCCAAATGAAACTGTCCGTATTTGCAAATGACATGATTGTTATGTAGAAAGTCAGAAGGAATCCACCCAAAACTCCCAGAACTAATACGTGAAGTCAGCAAAGTCAAGATTGCAGGTTTTAAGATGAACACACAAAAAACTGACTGTACTTTTATATCTAATTACAAATACAGCATTGGTAACTGAAACTAAAAACAATACCAATACCCTAAAAAAAAAAAAAAAAGAAATACTGAGGTTTAAATCTAACAAAACATGTATAGGATCTGTATGTTGAAAATTACAAAATATTGGGTTGACCAAAAGGTTCGTTTGGAAAAACCCAAATAAACGTTTTGGCCAACCCAATTCTAAGAAAGAAATGAGACCTAAATAAACTGGAGAGGATTACCATGTTCACTGACTGGAAGATTCAACATAGTAAAGACATTAATTCTCCCCAAGTTGATCTCCAGGTTTAATGGAGATCATTATTTTAAAATTTTTATGGAAAGGCAAAAAAATTAGAATAGGAAAAACAATTCTGAGAGAAAAAGCAGCAAGTGAGAGGGCTCACTCTTCCCAATGTTAAGGTTCATTGTATAGCTACAGTATTCAAGATGGTGTGGTACTGGTAGAGTTAGACACTGGTAGAGTTAGATTAATGGACCAGAAGAGAACCCGAAAACAGATCCACACAAACAAGTCCCACTGGTTTCTGACAAAGGAACAAAAGCACTTCCGTGGAGGAAGGATATAACCTTTTCAGTAAATGCTGCTGGAACTGGGCACTCAGGCAAAAACACGAATCTCTGACTACACCTCACACCTTACATGGGCGTCCCTGGCGGCTCAGACCTAAGAATCTGCCTGCAGTGCCAGAGACCTGGGTTTGACCCCTGGGTTGGGAAGACCCTGTGAAGGAGGGCATGGCAGTCCACTCCAGTATTCTTGCCTGGAGAACTCCCACCGACAGAGAAGCCTGGTGGACTACACTCCACAGGGTTGCAAAGAGTTGGGCACGACTAAGCGACTAAGCACACCTTAAATAAAAACTAACTCAAACTCAACTGAAGCCGTGAATGTAAGAGATAAATAAAACCCCGCAGCTTTTAGAAAACAAGAAAATCTTCAGGACCAAAGTCTAGCCAAAAAGGCCTTAGATTTGACATCAAAAGTATGATTCACAAAAGGATACATTAGCTGTAAAGGAGATGCTCTCAAAGTTAAAGACTGTTGGTCGATAAAAGACTGTACTAAGAGGGTAAAAAGGCAAAATAAGGACTAAAAGAAAATATCCGCAAACCATATATCCAACAAAAGGCATTTATCTAGAAAATATTAAAAATTCTCAAAACTAACAGAAACAAAATATCTAATTAGAAAATAAGCAGAAAACATGGATAGACATTTCACTGAAGAGGATATACAGACGGGCAATAAGCAAATGAGAAGAAGTTCAATATTATTAGCCATTAGGGAAATTCAAATTAAAAGCAAAATCAGCTGTCACTATACACTAATCATGTAGAATGTCAAAATTAAAATGGTGAAAACACCAGTGATAACACCAGGACTCCCCTGGTGGTCCAGAGGTTGAGAATCCGCCCGCCAATGCAGGGGAGACAGGTTTGATCCTGGTCCAGGAGGACTCTGCATGCCACGGAGAAACTAAGGCCGTGCACCACACCTACTGTGGCAGCGCTTTAGAATCTGCATACAGCAACTACAGACGCCGAGAAGCCCTGTGCTCCACACGAGAGAAGCCACCACAGTGAGCAGCCCGCACACAGCAAGGGAGAGACACCCCGCTCACCGCAACTAGAGGGAGTCTGGGGCAGCAATGAAGACCTGGCACAACCAAGAATAAACAAACAAAATTTAAAAAAATACTGATAACACCAAATGCTGGCGAGGATGTGGAGAAATCAAACCATCAAAGATGACTGATAGAAACATAAAATGATATGAACACAGCCACTCAGAAAAGATCTTGGTAGTTTCTTTTAAAGCAAAAAATGTAAGAACATTACCCAGCAATTATTTGGGCATTTATCTCAAAAAATGAAAACTTATGTTCACATAAAAATTAAGTATAATGAAGAAGGTGGAGGAAAAGAGGAATATCATAAGCAGAAGAAGGCTAACGTCAATATTCGGTTAACTTTTGAATATTGTGTTATACTTTTTAGCCAGAAAACGAAGGACAGCAGAATAACTCTTTGACTGGTATTTTGGCTTGGCAGGGCCCTGAAACTTCTGCCTAGTTTACTTTAAAAGAACCAAAATGAGGCCTAATCCAGGAGAGAACAATTTTGGTAATCAATTTCAGGTAAGAAGTTTGATAGGGACAGCACTGTACGTGTATGTTATAAAACAGGGCTGGTTCAGAATGTCCAGGAAAGCCAGAGCAAATGCAACCAAGTGAGAGACAAGCCAAGATAGTGAGAAGTGACTGCAGATGGCATTTAGCTCAGAAAAGGAGGAGATACAGGGAAAACAGTAGAGAACCCACAAAACCTGGCATTTGGCTTTCTTGGTATTTGTTATGAGGGGCGTCAGCAAATGTCAAGCAACAATGACTGCCCTTGAAGTAGTAGGCAATTAGTAACAGAGCAGTGCTTCTGGCAGTGCAACTCCCCTTGCACGTAAGAAAAAACATAAATGGTTGTACAAACCGTACAGGTAAGCTAGGAAAAGGAATTGAGAAAAGCATGTGGGCTGAGCTAAAGTAAAGACAGTTTCATGAGACTCTGAGACAAAACTGCAACTGACAGCTATATATACTGCAGGTTGAGAATAGCAAAAATGAAAATTTTATTGTTCTGTAATTAGATATGGGATGGTATTCTTAAATTTAAGTACTAGGCTGACTATGAATCTAGGAAATCATGTTATAAACCAGGACCACTTGACAAAAGAATCTTAATATGGCTGAGTGTAGAAAGGGTTTTTGAACAAGTATTTTTCCCTTTTATGGGCTTCCTTGAGAGCTCAGCGGGTATAGAATCCACCTGCAATGCAGGAAACCCTGGCTCAACTCCTGGGTTAGGAAGATCTGCTGGAGAAGGGATAGGCTACCCACTCCAGTACTCTTGGACTTCTCTCGTGGCTCAGCTGGTAAAGAATCCACCTGCAGTGGGGGAGACCTGGGTTTGACCCCTGAGTTAGGAAGATCCCCCGGAGAAGGGAAAGGCTACCGACTCCTGTATTCTGGCCTGGAAGTTTCTCACTAGATGTGGGGAAACAACAGAGTACCTTAGTGAGAGAGGTATAAAGGGGATATGAATATTTATGGAAGAAGTTATAAAAAAGCATTGAACATAACTTTAAAAATCAAAAAGTTACATTATGCATGTAAATCCTTATGAAGAGAAGTTAAGTTTACAAAAAACATCTTGGGGGACAGACTATACCTACACGCCTGTTTACAAATCCTCCTCATCAAAATGTCCCTTGCCGTGTCACACACAAAGGCAGGCAGGCTCCCCTGGGAAGTCTAGAAGATAAGAAAGCCCTCTTTTTGGGCAGCCCGAAGAAAGACGACATTTCAGGGGCCAGTGCGCTCCTCTAGCAACACAGAAAGCACTACCTACAGAAGATTCCATCTTAAGCGATTAATTTTGCTTAATTAAGCCGAGCTAAGGATGCATTATTATCATTCTATATAACAAAATTTATGAGACAGAAACCACTGTGAAAGATGGTAACGATAACCCTATATGCAAAACAGAAAAAGAGACTCCGATGTATAGAACAGACTTGTGGACTCTGGGAGAAGGCGAGGGTGGGATGTTTCAAGAGAACAGCATCGAAACATGTATATCTAGGGTGAAACAGATCACCAGCCCAGGTTGGGTGCATGAGACAAGTGCTCGGGCCTGGTGCACTGGGAAGACCCAGAGGGATCGGGTGGAGAGGCAGGCGGGAGGGGGGGACCGGGATGGGGAATACATGTAAATCCATGGCTAATTCATTTCAATGTATGACAAAAACCACTGCAATGATGTAAAGTAATTAGCCTCCAACTAATAAAAATAAATGGAAAAAAAAAAAAAAGAAACCACTGTGAGTTCATAAAGCTGATTTGATAAACAAGTCTTGAGATATTATCTATATAAGCTCTTACATATTCTCCTTTTACCTAGTGTCATCTGGATTTTATTCTAAATCCATTAGACACTGGCTTTTAGGTAACGGGATAAGCAATATGACACACATTCTAAAGAGACCGACCTGCCTGCTGCGGCATGAAAGGAAGGCAGGGTTGCCAAGAGACAGAACCAACGAGGAGGCCTCTGCGGTAGGCCAGGCAGGAAGGGGCAGTGGGCTGGGCCAGGAGAGGGGCAGCAGAGAAAGGAACTAGAGAAAGAAAGAGGCCTTGGCGATCAAGAGGAGACCTCTAAGTTTTGGCCTGGGTGTCTGAGTAAGCAGAGGTACCATTCATTGACAGGGGGGAAACAAGAGTGAGAATAGCTTCTTTGGAGCTGGGTTGAGGGAAGACCAAGATTCTTAGCTTGAACACACAAGGGATAGGATATGTCAAGAGGCGATCAGTTGAATGCATGCATCTGGAATGTTTTCTATTGGACTCAGAGACACTGGCACGAGAATGAATGCCAAGTAAGCAGGAATTCTGGGTTTGTTTGTTTTCTTATTTTAATGCCACATCTAAAAGAGTGCCTGAAACAGCATTTGGCAAGTAGCAGGGGTTTAATAAACATCTGCTGTGTAAATAAATGAGTGGTCATTAAGATGGTACTTAAAGTTATAGGATGGTATGAGATTAGAGAGGAACTATAGACTTAAGTCTTAAGGTAAAATTATATCTTAAATAATAATTTTACCTGTTTTTTAATAGCATAATTTTCACCATCTTCGGCTTTCATTTTTTCAATCTTTTCTTCTTGTTGTTTTGCTTCTTTTTCATACATCATTTTTTCTTTGACCAATCTATAAATAAACCAAAAATGTTTCAGAGAATTAACTTTCAGCAAGTGACCACAAGAAACACAGAAATGATGTAAATATAAAGCATACTTTAAAAAGCATATGTAACTAGGCAGGGAGAAAAGAAAGGAAGAAAAATACTTTAGTCATAGATGTATGAGTCTTATGCTCTTAAATTTTATACTTGACTAAAGCAAATCAACTTATCAAAGCATAGTATTCTTAAAATTTTAATTAAAGAAACATTCCATTATAGCAATTGTATTTATAATATAAAAATAACATTTCTTTATTGCTCGCCTTATTTACTTAAGTTATAATTAATAATATATTTGTTTCAGGTACATAATATAGTGATGTGATATTTTTATACATTATGGAGTGATCATCATAATAACTATACATCATCTATAACCAATAAAGTTGTTATCTCTTAATCTTCTTCACTTATTTTGTCTGTCTTCCCTGACCTGTCTTCCCTCTGGCAACTACCAGTTTGTTCTCTATGAGTCCATTTGTTTTGTTTTTTGGATTCCACATGTGAATGAAATCATTTGGTGTTTTCTCTGTTTGACTTATTTCAGTTAGCATCAACACCTTCCAGGTCCGTCTGTGCTGCTGAAGAGACATATTCAAAAAAATACTGTTAAGACCAAAGTAAATGAGGTGACTGTCTATGTTTCTTCTAGGAGTTTCATGATTTAAGATCTTACATTCAAGTCTAACCCATTTTGAGTTTATTTTTGAATATGGTGCAACAAAGTGTTCCAGTTTCATTCTTCTGCATGAAAAGAAGTTTTCCCAAAAACATTTATGGAAGAGACTATCTTTTCTGCATTGTATATTCTTGTCTCCTTTGTCACAGATTAATGCAACATATGAGAGTAGGTTTATTTCTGGACTCTATTCTGTTCCATGGATCTAAGTGGCTGTCTTAGGGCCAGTGCCATATTATTGGCTATTTGGGGCCTTCTATGGCTCTATTGTCTTTTTTTTTTTTTTTTGATACATGTTATCCAAACTTTTACACATGTACCTGAAACAGTGTAATGGTAAAAGCTCAGTTTCCTGGGAAAGGAGTCAGAATATTGCATGCTAAATCCCAAAGAAAGAAAGATTAAGTTATTTTCAACAACAAAACCTTTAAAAAGTATTTATCATGCACTTAATTTTACATCTGATCTTCTTTGTGTGAGGGACTTGGATATATAATTTAGATATGGTTCTTGCACAGACAAGCAATGGAAACAAACAAGTATTTATTAAAGCAAGAAAAGGTACTGATAGAGATCAGGAAGATTTTCGACAAAAAAGAACAGAGCAACACAAAGTTCTACTGATTATTCCTCAGATAATCAAAATTCAGTTAGTCATAATAGTGCAATCTCCCCTAGTTCTCGTTAATCAAACTTTTAATGTAAAAGAAAAGTGCAGTCCAAGAAAGCACTAATATTCCTATATACACATTATCTTAGGAACAGAAGGAAAAAACGTTCACAGTCCCATACCTATTAAAAGTAGTTTTCTAAAAAAAAAAAAAAAAAAAAGGTAGTTTTCTCCCCCTGGCTTGATGACTTACTTCTAGAACTATGTTACTGGGAAGGAATTTAAAAATCATACTAGAGCATAGTGAAGTCGCTCAGTTGTGTCCGACTCTTTGCGACCCCATGGACTGTAGCCCACCAGGCTCCTCCATCCATGGGATTCTCTAGGCAAGAGTACTGGAGTGGGTTGCCATTTCCTTCTCCAGGGGATCGGATCTTCCTGACCCAGGGATTGAACTCAGGTCTCCCACATTGTGGGCAGACGCTTTACCGTCTGAGCCACCAAATAGCTTCTGTCTAATCATTTGAAATGAAGATTAAATGTATCTCAAAAAATGATACAATTTTCATATTCTAACAGAATTAAAATAAGTTCACAAATCTAAAAAATCTTTTGTCATACTATCTAGAATGTTTTTAAGTCAGATTTAAAGTCTGGATTTAAATCACCACATAAAATGCATAGTGACAGTGAAGTTGCTCAGTCATGTCTAACTCTTTGCGACCCCATGGACTGTAGCCCACCAGGCTCCTCCGTCCATGGGATTCTCCAGGCAAGAATACTGAAGTGGGTTGCCATTTCCTTCTCCAAAAATGCATACTAAATATTAAAACACTAAAATGTTCCAGTTTGGAATTTTGAGTTGTACAAGCAAGGTTCATCTTTGTCCTTCATGATCATGCACTAGCAACACCAATGTAAAGAAATATAACAAAATGTTAACAGTATTTATAGTAGAATGTGACCTTTAAATTCTCATCCTGACATATCTCAAAGTGAAAAAAAAAAAAAGCACAAAATAGGTATAAATTTTACCCTGCCATGAATACAAACAAACAACAAAAGATTTGTCAAATAACAAGTAACAAAGGATACCTGGGCAACTATCTATTTGTGGTTACCTGAGGAGAAAAGCCCTAGTGAGATGGGGTAGGGGTGGTCAGCTGGGAGGTAAATAAGCTTTCATTTTATGCCTCTCAATAAAAGTTTCAGGGTTCCCCCCCCATATGTAAGTATTACTTTTATTTTAGAAATTAGATGCTTATAATTAATTTCTGAGTGGCACAATTTTGAATTATTTTTAAGTCTGCTAGGTTTTCCTTTAGCTATATTTTCTAAATTTTCTGGAATAAAGCAAAATTCAATTAGAAAGATACCAAAATATATCTAATAGCTGTACTTTTCTAAACATTGATCTCTTTTGCTAGTTTTCAAATGCTATTAAAATAAGTACAAATAAATATAAAGCCATAACTTATTATATTTTAAAGGCATAATTAACTGAAAATGTTTATTAGCCTTACAAACCCACATCTACAGAGAAACACAGCAAGTTCAAAATTGGTCAATTTTAGCAGTTAGATAAATAAATATATAAATGCAAAATAAAGAAACAAAAAAGCAATAGAAAAAGGCATACATAAGGAGAAATTTTAAGAAATGATGGCCAATAGGGTAATAATAACCAAATGAGAGCAAACCATTTAACTTTTTATGTATGGACACAACGTGATTTTAAATATGTAGGCCAGTCATACTCATCACTCTGTCTTAACAATTATTAACAATTTGGCAGTCTTGTTTCATGTGTCTCCTGCCACTTATTTGTGTATTTATTGATTAGTATTTTCAGACATTTTACCTTTGGTTTGATTTTTGAGGTTAAAAGCCAATGATTTCCACCTCCCTCCCCACCTTATACCATATACAAAAATTAACTCAAAAAGCAAAAGTTATAAAAGTTTTGAAAGAAAAATGTAGGTAAATCTTGATGACTTCGGATTTGGAGTTTTATACATGACACCAAGAGCACAAGAAACAAAAATGCTGACCTTCAACCCATGCACCTATAGGTAACTTATTTTTGACAAAAGAGGAAAGAATATACAATACGGCAAAGATAGTCTCTTCACTAAGTGATGCAGGGAAAACTGGACAGCTACATGCAAAACAATGAAATCAGAACACTTCATAATACCATACACAAAGATAAACTCAAAACGGATTAAAGACCTAAATGTAGACCAAAAATTATAAAACACTTAGAGGAAAACACAGGCAGAACACCCAATGACATAAACCAAAGCAAGACCTTCTATGACCCACCTCCTAGAGTAATGGAAATAAAAACAAAAATAAACAAGTGGGACCTAATTAAACTTAAAAGCTTTTTGCACAGCAAAGAAAACAACCAACAAGGTGAAAAGACAACCTAGCAAAAGAAACAACTGACAAAGAATTAATTTCCAAAATATACAAGCAGCTCATACAACTCAATATGAGAAAAACAAACAATCCAATCAAAAAGTGGGAAAAACACCTAAACAGACATTTTCCCAAAGACATACAGATGGCTAACAAACATGTGAAAAGATGCTCAACAGCACTCATTATTAGAGAAATGCAAATCAAAACCACAATGAGATACCACCTCACATCGGTCAGAATGGCCATCATCAGAGTCTACAAACAATAAGTGCTAGAGAGGGTGGGAGAATTGCTGGTGGGAACGTAAACTGATACAGCCACTCTGGAAGATGGTACGGAGATTCCTTAAAAAACTAGGAATAAAACCACCATATGACCCAGCAAATCCACTCCTAGGCATACACCCTGAGGAAACCAAAAGTGCAAAAGACACATGTACCCCAATTTTCATTATAGCACTATTTACAACAGCTAGAACGTGGAAGCAACCCAGATGTCCACTGACACACGAGTGGATAAAGAAGCTGTGGTACATCTACACAATGAAACATTACAGCCATACAAAGGAACACGTTTGAGTCAGTTCTGATGAGGTGGACGAACCTAGAGCCTACATACAGAGTGAAGTGAGTCAGAACAAGAAAGATAAACATCGTACGCCGGGCTCAGTCGCTCAGTCGCGTTGGACTGCGGCTGACTCATCTATGTGCAGTCTAGAAAGACAGTGCTGATAAATGTATCTGCAGGGCAGCAATGGAGAAACAGTCATGGAGAACAGACCTATGGGCACGGGGAGAAGGGAGGAGCGGGGGAGATGTGTGGAGAGTACCATGGAAACTCACACTGCCATGCGTACAACAGACAGCCAGTGGGAACCTGCTGTATGTCTCAGGGGACTCAAACAGGGGCTCTGTGACAACCTAGAGGGGTGGGGCGGGAAGGGAGTCGGGAGGGAGGCGACATGGTTGTACCTATGGATGATTCTTGTTGATGTCTGACAGAAAACAACAGAAGTCTGTAAAGCAATTATCCTTCAATTAAAAAATAAAGTGGCAAAAAAGAAAGCGCTGACCTTCATCAAGATCAAAAAATTTTGTGCTTCAAAGGACACTATCAAGCAAGTGAAAAGACAACTACAGAATGGGAGAAAATATCTGCAAATCATATACTGGATAAGAAAACTGTATCTAGAATATATAAAGAACATTTACATTTAATAAAGAACTTATTAATAAAGAACATTTAATAAA